CTACGGCGAGGGTTCATCTCCCGCCCGTGCCCTCAGCCTCCTCTTTCCCCGAGGTTTTTGGGGAGGATCCCGCCCGGACATCGCTGCCCGGCTCCCCCCCGCCGGGCGCTGAGCCGCATGAGCCTTCAGGGCCTGGGGAAGGAGGGAGCTGGGGGCCAGGGGGCTCCCGCATGGACCCCAGCCTTCGCAGGGCCGAGGAAGTCCGTCGCCAGAGCCCGTCTCTGCTCGCGTGCTTGCCCTGCCGCTTAGAACAAGGCTGGTACGGCGGATCAGAGCACCTACACCAAGCAAAATACGTGGGAATGGGCTCCCCGGTATCCAAACTTGGTGTATGCCTCGGAAGAAAACCCTGAAAGGCGGTTACAAGAATGAGTCTTGAGGTGTATTTTGCTGAAATATTCTCTTACGTCTCCTTTCTGTGATTTTCTTTCCAAGTCAAGCAGCTGAACTTTTATTTCCCCGGATAAATCTGACTTGGAGCGTGCTCGCCGTCAAGCTGAAAGGCCATCATTTGCTGGGCGAGCGCAGAAGACTCCTTTGGCTTGGTCGAACCAAAAGCAGCAGAATGACCACGCTAGCCAGGTTTGCTGCACCAGGAGACCACAATGTGCGTGGATGAGTTTGCCCATAACCACATTTCTCCCTCATAACGGTGCATCTCAGTGCCGTTGCTCTGGATGTGGGTGGTTAAACAAATTTCAGAGCATTTATTGCTGAGCGGAGGAGACATGGGTGCTTGGGGTCAGCCTCTGCCTGCTGAAGCACCCCTTTGATTGCCACATCACTCTCTCCAGGCTATAAAATGCCATCGTGTTTATAAAGGAGCTGTGCAAGAGCCTGTTTCTCCTGCCATGGTACGATGAAGCAGAGACCACGTCTCTGCTCACAGTCAGCCTCTCCTGAATGCTCCAGGGCACAAAAGTCAAAATCCCAGCATTTTCCAGGCTCCTGGCTTGAGGGGTGGGACTTGGTGCCGGTTTTTGTAGACCCCGCAGCCACCGGGGTCCCTCGTCCCCATCGGAGCAGGGCTGTCACCAGTGCCAGATCGGGATGGCCCCAGCCATGTCCTGCGGAGCCCTGCCGTCCCTGAGGACGGAGACTCCCCACCTCCTGGTGACCCCTCCTAGGGCTGCAGCGTCCCCAGGACCCCTGAACCTCTGTCACCACCACTGCCAGCCCCATCGGCCCAGCTCCACTGCGTCCCCTGGGTGCCAGGGAGCACCTCCTGGGCCCTCTCCAGTTTCTCCACCTCCCTTCTCACGCAGGAGCCCAGATCTGCGGGACCTGCTGCTGGTGCGTCCCCCGCGGGGGTTAACGGTTGTCTGGAATCTCCTGCCCAACTGGCACTTTCAAAACCATCCCCAGAGCCGAGCCTGGGGCATGGGGGAGGCTCGAAGGGAGAGGTGGGGAGGACAGGCTTGAAGTGACACGGCTCATCCCGTTACCGTGGCTTAAAACGCTTGCGGTTGGCTTTTGCGGCTTTCGGTGGCCTGTGCCAGTCCTCCCTGTTCTGCTTTCTGGGCACGGGGCCCCTTCGCCGCAGGTTTCGTGGCTGGACAGGGAAGCCGGCGCGTGCGGGGACCAGCGGTGAGATGCTCAGGGCGGGCAGTCGGTGCCTGCAGCCTCCCAGGGTTGCAGTCGGTCAGTGGAAATGCTGAAATTATGTTTGGATGTCCGTTTAACAGACAAACAGGGAATGAATTCAGGAAGGAGGTTAGATCAGGAAGGGATAGTCCTTAATATGTCAGAATATAATGTTCCTTATTAGATACTAAACCTGTGTAGGGGCTGCCTCACCTCATTCCTGGTGGAAGGGGAGGCAACGCCAAGGCTCTGGCCAGGGGCTGGGTGCCGACGGTTGGCCTGAAGGAGGTACAAGGCAGAGGTGCAAGGTGTGCTGGGGTAGTTGGGGTCTTCTGGCAGCTCAGGGTGGGGTGGGGGGTCGGTTACAGGTTTACTGAACAAGTGAGGTGATGGAGGTAGGGGGGGCTAATGGCTGAGCTTAGCGCTGGAAGGTTTTCACCTCCCTGCGTCCCCGGGCATATCGGGAGAGCTCCTAGGGACGGCTGCTTTGGAGCAGCTCCTGGGGGCCTTGTGCTGGCCAGAGCTGAGCCCCCTCAAAGCCACCACCCAGACCCAGGGCTGGGAGGGGGAACTGCTGCCCCAGTGGCTCAGCAGGGAGAGGCGACGGTGCCCACGTCCCCGCGGCCGGGAAGAACACCGGCCTGGCAGAGCACCGAGGGGACTCACCGCGGCCTGGCAGAGCACCGTGCATTGGGGTGAGCCCCCGTGCCAAACCAAACGCTCATGGGGATGTTGGTCTGCATGCAGACCCCGCCGGCGGCCTAGAGCATCTGCCATGTCAGCCCCGGTGCCGGAGCCTCCTGCCCGGGTGAGGAGCCCCGAGGCGGGGCAGCGCGGCGGCTGCAAGCCTGGGCACATCCTCGCTCAGCTGTCTGCAACCCTGGAGAACCCAGACGTCAAAGCTTTGGAGGTGAAGGGCGATGCCGCGTTGGACGTGGGAGTCGCAGTGAGCACAGGCTTCGTTCCCGGTGCCCCGAGCACGGCACTTGCCCCTGTGCAAGCCTTGTGCGCGAACATGGGATCCCAATGTGTGCCAAAATTTGGGGAGGGGGAAGGAATGGGAAAAGCTCCATCCCAGGTGGATGTCCCTGGGGCTAGGTCCACTCCCCAGAAACAAAAGCCATGATGTTACTCCCAAGTCTTTCTCAAACTGAGAGGAAATGACCCCAAATAGTTACTTGCGAGCTTCTAGTTAAGCTGCCTGAAAAGGCAGCTGAATAATTTCCAGCCAACTCCTTGTAGAGTGGTTTTCTGCCCTGGTGGCACACTCAAGGGTGTCCCCAGCTGCTGCTGGGGACGTGGTGGTGCCACTGTGGGTGATGGGGGGGGTGAGGTGGCAACCAGAGCCGTGGGAGGGCCAGCGGGACTCGTGGGGCCACCCAGCCCCACGGTCCCATCCACCATAGACAGCCACTGCAGCAACACAGGTTGCTCCCTCTCACCAGCCAGCCGGGCTCACCTCCAAGACCTTGGGGGCATGTTGGGTGTAAAACCCTAAATCCAGGTGGTTATTAATGGCCAGCAAAGGGTCCAAGCCACGGTGGCAGGGTCATCCACTCCAGGGCCCAAGGAAAGCGGGTACAGGCACCGGCAGGATGGGAGCGTCGCTTGTCAGTGCTGTCGCCCGTGTCCGCCACAGTGGTCCGAGGATGGGCGAGGTGTCCTTGTCCACGCCGAGCTGTATGAGGAGGAGATGGGGAAGAACAAAGAGCTTTTCCCGGAGCTGGCGGATCTCGGCTGTGTCGCGGCACTGCAGGCCTGGCTGCTAGCCTACGGTTTCAAACTCAAGGGGGCAAAGTAAGTCACCACGTCTCCTTCACGAGCCAGCTTTGTGCTGCAGCGCAGCTGGGATCACCGTGCGAGGAGCAGCCGCCAGTGAGGCCTACGTCTGCCTCGGGCTGGCTGCCTGAGGGTGAAACAAGGTTGGGAGGAAGGGATGAGCACGGGATGGAAGATATTAGTATCCAGGATTTGTGGCTGGACATAGTTCTGGTTTTATTTTGTTGAGAAACGAGGAGCCCGGTTTGTAGTAATTTTGAGAGTTGCCTTGAGTTTAAAAGAGCAGATAAACCAGAGAAGTGTGGACAGGGAGAAGCCCAAAGAGTCACGAGGCTCATGGTGGAAAGGGAAACGGCACCTATGCCAACACAGTAGCCCGGAGCCATCCATCAGCCAGGCAGCGACCACCAGCCATGTCCAGGTCCAGCCAGGGAGCTGAGCCAGCATGGCCAGGGCAGGAGCAGCGAGGTGCCGGCCAGCCCCAGGCACGGCTGTGCCACAGCACGGGCACAGGGGGAGGGGGAGGGTTGCACTTGGACTCAGCTCCTGTGCCAGGGTGTGGAGCCCCCCCCCCCCCGGGGGGCTGCAGGGGCCCGCCGCCCCCCGCCGCCCGAGC